TATAGATCCTCTATGGAAACTGTTATAGACCTCTATAGATCCCCTATAGAGCCCTGAAACCACAGCTGGTGCTGCTGGGCAAGCAGGTGAGACCCTATAGACAACTAGAGACCCCCTATAGGTCCCCTATAGACCTTCTATAGACTCCCTGAAACCACAGCTGGTGCTGCTGGGCAAGCAGGTGAGATCCTATAGGGTCCTACGGACAACCCTATAGACCCCTATGGACCCTTACAGACCCCCAGGGACCCCCACGGGCCCTTACGGACACCCCTATAGATGCCAATAAATCCCCTATAGAGCCCCTGTAGAACCCTGAAACCCCAGCTGGTGCTGCTGAGAAAGCAGTGAGACCCTATAAACCCTTACAGACCCCAATAGATCCCCTCTAGGCCCCCTGAAACCCCAGCTGGTGCTGCTGGGCCAGCAGTGACACCCCCCCCAGACCCCCTATGGGCTCTCACGGACCCTTACGGACCCTCCTGGGCACCCCCATATAGGCCCCTGTGGACCCCCACGGCCCCAGGAGGGTCCCTGCGGCCCGGGGGTTGTGGTGGGTCCCCTACAGCCCCCCCAGGACCCCCCCCCGCCCCCCCCCCCAGGCCATCGATGACGACTGTAACCAGACGGGGCAGCTCCTCGCCGCCATGTTGGACTGGCCGCAGGTACCGCGGGGCACCACGGGACACTGGGGGTGTGCGGCTGTCCCGGCATCCCCCGCGGCACCGCCCATAGAGACCATCGCGGGGCATGACGGGATACTGGGGGTGCGCGGCTGTCCCGGCATCCCCCGCGGCTCCGCCCATAGAGATCATTGCACCGCGCGGGGCACGACGGGACAGTGGGGGAGTGCGGCCGGAGGGGGGATATATCCCATCGTCCTTTGCGGCGGTTTCTGCGCGGGGGGGGCCCAGTTTATGCTGGGAACGCCTCAGTTTGTACTGGGAGGGTACTCGGTTGGTACTGGGAGGGGCCGCTTTACACTGGGAAGGGCTCCCAGCCCTTACTGGGTCAATCCAAGCCCATACTGGGATGCCCCCATTCCTTACTGGGATGCCCTAATTTCATACTGAGATGCCTCCAGTTCTTACTGGGATGCCCTCATTTCATACTGGAATGCCCCCGTTTCTTACTGGGATGGCCTCATTCCATACTGGGATGCCCCCACTCCACTGTGGGTGGCTCCCACTCCGCACTGGGACGTTCCCAGTCCATCCCAGTGCCCTCTGTCCCCCAGGGCACCTTCGC